GAAATAAGAAATCCAACTCAATCCTGTCATCTAAGAACAAAAAAAGCAATGTAAGATAAAAAGACAATGTTAAGAACAATGCTAGTATGAATTCTCTGAAGAAAGCAATGCCTAGAACAATGCAGATCGGGGAAAAAGCAGGAACAGGGGTTTTGAGGTTCTTCTGTTCCCTCACTCTCAAAAAAGAAGAAAGAATTCAAATCATTAAAAGTGAATAATGAGTAGCTTTCAGCGATCCGTTGCAACAGGCCATCTCTTATTCATTTCAAAAAATCACTTAAATTTGACCTTTCCATGAACTTTTAGTTTACGCTAAGTGATGCTCTTTTGAAGATGTAAACCAACATTGCATATGGTATAAATTAATATTCATCATCATCAGCTTAATTTAACGGGTCTAGATACAGAACCATAGGAACCATAGATAAGTCAATGATTCTGAAAACTATCAAATACTACATAGAAAAAGTTACCTTTATAATGTTTGCTTAAACCTTGTACTCATTGACTCGCATCCATTTCGTAGACGACCACTTATTTCCTCTAATCACAGGGCAGCCTCCTGGATAATTAAAAACAGTAAATTATAAATGATCCTAGAAAAGAAATGAACAGAAAGTAGGAAGATATTAACTTGTGATAAATTAAGTAATGCAACTAGACATTCAAGGGAAATGAGTCATGATGCTCAAAAATTAAAGGGTCCCTGTTTGATAAAGCTGAAATTTGAACCACACACCTCAGCAGCAAGCTAAATAGTAACTAGAACTAACCATGCAGACTTGAAGGATCAAGACTTGCATCAGGCTTCATGCTCCAGAAAAGTAATGCATCACCCATCCTTGGTTTAACAGAAAGTCCTCCTTTTCCACACTCAGATAATTCATTCCACCAAGGCACAGCACTAATGTTCCCTTTGCCGCAGGAAACACTGTCTCCCCCTTCTTCAACATCTGAGCTGTAAAACGGTAAAAAAAGTACAGAAAGAACAAATGTGAACTTACACATAATGCACTAGATAAAAAACACAGTGAAAATATGTAATGCCACTTACAGTACATAAGGAACTGTAGCTATGCGCTGGCCCCCGTTTTTTAGTATTGAACTCATCCATGAAGTAGTCATAGTGAGGCTCATATTTTTTGGCCAGCCTCATAGTGGAGAATTTGAATCCTTCCCCGTGCTCTGCATATTATGTGTTGCCATGAGTAACTTTACAACCACTGATAGCACAAAACACAAGAGCTGACCTAAAGCAGACTCTAAGGAAGAATACATGATAATATGGAAGAAAGAAGTACACTTAGGAAAGTAATGAAAAACAAATGCAGATAAAATTTGGATTGATCCAGATACTAGACATACCGACTGGTATGAAGGTAAAATCTGCAATCCTTCTCTCAATGTTCCTAATAATCTTATCACGTCTCTAGCTAGAAATGTTCCAGAACTTGTACGTACCCTGTATGTAAACATCCAGGGTTTCACATATAATCAAAGAGTTAACAAATATAAAAAGAAAACTATATGCAATAAGATCATTAAGAAGTACATACCTACTATCTTTACTCTTGCCAGTTTCACTATCAACAACGGTTGACTTTACCATATGAGGCTTTGGCAAGATCAATCAGGTATTCACATTCCTCCTTGGACTGCCAAAATTATCACAAGGACCTTGATCAGGTACAAAAAACTTTCTAACTAAAAATTCATTTCGGACCAATAAGAAACCCATGTTCATAATAGGATCTACTCCAAAATTGGACAACAGGAACATGAATGCATTTATATTCTAGTATTAACTTTCTCTGATTTTCCTTGCTTTTGTTTTTAGTTCTTGTGAATGATTCTATAAAAAAATGACATTAAATCATCTTATATTTTATGGATCCGCTTAATTACTAAGAATATATTGAGATAACTTTCTTAAAAATATTTCGCATTAATTATCAGTTTAAAGTACTAGAATACAGGAAACTTTTCTATGAAATTTAAAAGAAAAAAATCAAGGCCAACAAATAAAAAAAAAATTGCTTATTTGACAAATAATTTCAATAGCGATAATGCTTCAGTTAGAGTTAAAAATAAAAATGAAGAGGAACAGAAAAAAAAAAATTAACCTTTTCTGCCAAAGAAAAAAAAAATGAGAAACTGACCAAGAAATTATGGTAGATAAAAGCTCTAGGCTCCCAAGAGATGACTTCAACCCAGTGCTCTCCTCTTCCTTCATCATCATCACTTCTGCCAATTCCAAAAAATGCACCCAAAACAAGCAGAGTTATTACCAGATCGCCATTCGCCATCCAACTCAACCAAAAATTTCAAAAACAAAACTCACCTGTCGACGACGTTATGCACAATCGAGCTCAAATCGTTAGGTTTAGGTGAATTTCCGGAGTTACTGCTAGGAATTGAAAGGATTCCGAGCGCCAAAAGAATCAAAATCAGGAAGGTGAACATGATCAGCATGGTTAGAAACATAGTTGACGATGACGATTTCCGAGCCGGAAGGCGCGAATACCTCGGCTTCGCCATTGCTTCTAAAAACTCGGGAGATCGAGATCTGGAACTTCCTCGACTCGGTTTCACAAGAGAACTTGGTTATATCAGTAATGCTATCTTTTTTTTTCTTTTTTATTTTAGAAGTCTTCTATTCCTCTACCTTTTTTTTTTTTTTTTTTTTTTGTAATAATCAGTCTTTTGGTTTCCTGTTTCGTTAGCTTGTGGAAACCAATGTCCTTTGAAATTGTTCTCCTTAAATCGCATTTGGATATTTCTCGTTTTTGCTCTTTTCTCCCTATACTTTTTCTTATTTATATATTTCCATCATATTTTTACTTATTAGCACCAAGATATTTTATTTGTATTATTTTAACAATAAAAATTGTTTTTTAACCCAACCAACCTGTCTAGTCTAACATTATCTTTTACCGAATGTGGTGTACGGCTACCCATTGTAACTTATCCATAAATTTTGCATGCAAAGCCTTACAAATTAATTAATTAATAATTTGTCATCCCAAAGAAGGAAATGTGTTAGGTTAATAATTTTTTTTTTTGTAAAAAAGCCAGAGCTTAGGAAGATTAAAAAAAATTGCAAGCATTGAAGCTCGAACCCCAATCTTAGCATGTGGGCAGCCTCACGTTTTAGCTTAAAAATGTTGCTAAATTAAATAACAACCACAAAAAATGAGAAGGAGAGATAAATACAGCTCATAAATGGATGTGTTGTGATTTATTATGAATTAAAAAACCAAGTCAACTAGCAATTATATGACTTTCATGTTTGATAATAATAGAAGTATAATTTTTTTCTTTGTTATGCTTGGGCTGGATTATATGTATATATGTTTAATTTATTGATAATGGAGAAGCGGTGCTAAACATGATGATAAGATCAAACTATCGGGAACAAAGGTCAACCTGTCAGCAGCTTGTAAAAAGTCCATCCAGAATACTTCTATTATGCTTTTCTGCTGATTATGCCTTTTTGATTACCAAGAATTGTGAAGAATTCATCACTGGGAGAGACTGAGCCTTTTCATCATTATTATTAGCACTTATGATTTATCAGCAATTTTTTACTTTATCTGTACCCAAAATTTTGAGGCATTTAAAACTAATCAAAAGTTCAAACCATTGGGAGATAGGGAGTTTTATTGCGCTTCTTCAAATGATTTGGTTTTTGTTCTCTTGTCTGTCTAAAGGCTCTGTGGTTATGTCTATTTTTAAAATTTTCATTTTCTGGCTCAAGTGTGGTTGCTAGTATTGCAAACAAAGAAGTGCAATGGTTAACTAACTACATATATATGATGCGAAATTGCCAACTCAATCATGTAAAAGCATTGCATCAAACTTTTTTTGACAGAGCTTGGGCTTTTGGTTTACCACAAAAGCAGAAAGAACAACTTGCAACATTTTGAAATATACGACACCTGCAACAGCACTACTTTTCACAACAGGGTTTCTCATAACAGAATGAAGTAATACTAACCATACTTATTTGCAAGCACACTTAAATAAATGAAAAGAACTCTCAATGACACATACAAATCAATGCATGGTAGGTAATGCAATCAATCGAAAGTTGAAAAAGCTCCCCTATCCCAATGGTCTAAAAGACACCAAGTGATGTAGGATATAAAGGAGCAGGTTTATAATTAAAAAAATTGGAAAATAAGTGGATGCTCCTCGCTTGGATCGCCCATGGATTCAACAGCTGGTTGGTTTAAGTACGCATACTTGCTCTTTGTCCACCTGCTCATGTTAGTTGAAAGCAGATACCAGAGTTCAATTAAAAATGTTTTAGTATAAATTTTCAAGAAATAAAGGCATTTTATCAGTTGTCCTAAACTAATAGCTACAACTCCAGAAGATGAGCAAAGAATTAGCAAATTATATGTCCGTGTCGTGATATAGAATCAGTTATCTGATGGATTTCATGGGCAAAATGCAGTTATTTTCATTTTTTGATGTCAGAAAACTGTATGACACAGACATTTGGAGCTAATAATGCAGTTAAATCGATTCAGGGAAATCTACTTCAATATGATTTCCTATGTATGTTTATTCTCATCATGATTAGAATAGCCAAAGTCTTGAAGAGAAATTTTACTAACCAGTCCTTTATTCCCACACGAATTTCATTATTTTTTTTATCTCCTTTTCCGTTGTTGGTTGGGGCTGTGATCTTCTCCTTAGCGTTGTTATCTTCATTGCTCAGTGACTCTTCAAAACACTTAACAGTCTTCCTCCTACACAACATCGATCTTGAACAAGTTAACCAAGTGAACAAAGTGACTCAAATGTTTTGGCATGCTACAGACTTTATTAAAACTAACTCTCCACCTTCTAATGCCTAGAAATGAGCTTCTTATCTATTGCAATTCTCTTCGCATTAGTCAAATGGTGAGCTTGAAATGCAAGTGATAATAATTCTCCAGGCAACTTTGTCGAAAAATAGAATCCCAGGGAAATTTTAATCCTATCTTTGGTACCAACATTACCAGAAAAAGAAGAGAATAGGAATGAAACAGGACAAGCATTTTATTTCCCCGGCTTATCAATTAGGTGACCATATAAAAGATTTCTTCTAATCAATACTCAACATGAATCACTTTGACTGTTAAGCAATCGGCTCATCAACAAAAATTAGTGAAACTGATAGCAGGTTTCAGAGAGAACCCTGTCATAAAGCTGAATGAGTATCATATAATCTTACCGACAGATTGCGGGCCCTGATGCGTGCTGCAGCCTTGATGGCAGCCAGTAGGTGATCCTCTTCTTCAATGCGCTTCTGCCTCCAGAACTTGGCAATCTCTCGGTTTGTTATACTGTCGGCAGTAGTCTTCCTTGCCCAGAATCTTGGAAGTGGCGGTGGGGGGATTGCCTGTTTAGGCTTACCAATGATACTGTCAGTTTCCAACTTTGTTGGATTCATAATCATAGAACTCTTTGGTTGAATATGCTACTTAGCTTTGCCTCAAGTCCAAGTTTGAGATGATCAGGTGAAATAACAAAATAGCAGGGTACAAATTATTGAATAAGTAACAAGCCACTTCCATAACCAACCCCCCACAGCTACTAATCCAACCTAACTTTCAACTGTGAGTGATAGATTGGTTTCTTGGGTGCTCTAAGGTTTTCAATTTTGGAATTGCTTGGCTGGTTTCTCAACACTAACCAGCATGCAAAATTTTGACCGGTAGATGCAATTTCAAGTAGTAAGAATGACAAGTGAAGACAAGTAAGATATGGATAATCCATATACTGGAATGAAAGAAACTGCCATATAAAAAATTAGGCCGAAGAAAAGTTCTGGGAAATGGTTTAATCAATATTTTTCTTCGGTCAAACACATACCTACCACTAACCCCAACTCAAAATCAGGTCCAATTAAATCGCCCAACAGTCCAGACTCCAGAATAATCCAATGGTTGTTCCCATGGTTTGGATAAACCCTTTCATATTTAATAGATCAATGAGAATCAATTAATGAGAACCATCCTTGATGTTCCCTCAAAATTTTATTTAGCAGTGGACTTTCACTGCAACTCAAACCATGGAATAGACTGATGCAACAAGGTAAATTGCAGAAACGAATTTCAAGTCATTAGCACCAGTATTTACTCCGATGATACAAGGTTCACCCGAAACTTTTTATCAGCTAAGACCAAAATAAACAATTTCTTGATCTGGGAATTTACTACCCTTGCAAACAGCTGAGTCTGATTGGTTCTATTTATTGAAGTTATCACTTAGCAACCTACCTCTGCGACAGAGTAAGCATCGCAATAGGTGGTTGAATACGATTGAGATTACGTTCTGAAATTATCATCACGGTGGATAATTCAAGGCTTCCATATATGGTTTTTGCTGAGGTTGATACCTGCAACACATCAACATCTCCTGAAACTGTTAGATATTAGACGCATTCCTGGTTCTCCGACAGGAACATGCGACCTTTGTTCTGTTCAATTTCAAACCCCCTATTAGTTTCGTATCTGACTCTGCAAACCGCAGCCTAAAATATCACCAATCAAATCTAAAGTTCAAGAAAAAAAAAAAGAACGAATCAATTTAATAAACTGAAGGGAATGATGAGATGGATTCTCTTTAATTGGCATAAAAATCTCTATTGGATTGAAGAAATAGAGTGATCGAAATTCACATAACAAGATCGTCCGTATACATAGACCAAACCAAAGAAACCCCCAACCCAAAATATCTACAAAAACCAGAAACCATAATCAGAAAAGTTCTTCAAGTTTCAGACATGATGTTAAGCGCCTTGGTCTTGAACCGATATCTAGGAGCTCTAGGGATCACCTGACTGGGCCCAAAATGGTATTGACCGGGACTGTTGGTGAGAGGAGGACCGTCATCATAAACATAACCAACGAGTTTGCCACAGTTATTGCACTTGATCTTGGTCCTGTTTCGTACGATCCCCCAGTAATTAACGGTCTCAAAAAAAGGCCTGATCTTGTCCTCTTTCTCTAACTTGAACTTGGAGGCGTCGATCAAGGCGAAGGAGAGGGTGCCCTTGTTTCCCGCTTCGAAGTAGAAGTCTGGAGGGAAGAGATGGGTTGTGCTTAAGTTTAGGTTGGTTCCGCACTCTGTACAGCAGTAGATGGAAGCCATTTTTGATTTCGGATTCCAAGGTCCTTGAGTGGTGGGGAAGCAAACTGGGAATTATAGGGAAGCCAAGGCCGGATTTGGCTTTGAATTTGACGAAATTGTCGATGGCAGATTTTCAAACACGCGTCGCTGCTTTAGAAAATTCGTTTATCCCAAAATCAGTTTTATTATGACGAGGTTACTGACGTCGAGTTTTTAATTTGATTTTTTGTTTCTATAAAATCTTAATTTTATATTTAAGTAGTGAAAATGTAATTATTTTTTTATTTTTGTCAAAAAAAAATACATTTATAGTAGGTGTATTGTATGTTGGCATTCCATATACTGACAAATAACAATGAAAACATCTGCAAAAATACTTTTTTAAAAAAATTAAGGTAAATCATATGTTGTTGACATAAATCGGGAATGCGCTCTATACAGTTTTCTAGAATTGTTTCAAATTTTTTTTTAAATTCAAATAAAAATTTTGAATTAACATAAATTGGTTTCTAAGTAAATCCTTATGGATTCGAGTCCGATATTTTTTTTTAAAGTTATTTCAAATTCACATTTTGTTATAGGAGTCATTTGGTTTAACATGTTTTATCAATTTATTTTTGGGTTGAGATTTATTTCAAATAAATCATAATGAGTTTATGATTTCTTGAATTTAAATGTTTTGGTTTCAGACTTTATTTTTCAGTTGTGGTTTTTTTGTAAAAAAAAAAATATAATAATGTAAAGGTAATTTCATATCGTTTTGTCTAATTTGATATCCATTTATTATTTTTTTACTTGTAATAGCAGATAAATTGTACGTGATTATTGCACTTAAGTACCAATTAAATGTTTTGATATGAACAAATACAAGTTACATAACTTTGAAGTGTTATTTTGCTCTATTCTATCTCTACATTCTCTTTATTTGTACATGAAAAATGTTTAAATTAGCCTTTTGATACTTTTATTTTAAGATAGATTTATTAATAATTGAACTTTTAATGATACTATAGAAAGATTTCATTATTATTAAGTTTTAAGTTCGCATTTTGTCGTGAAAGTAAAATAAAGTTATATACTTATAATTTAGTTGTAGAAGTAAAATAAAATTATGTATTAATAATATAAATATTGAACAATATTTAAGAGAAAAAGAGTCATCTAGTTATTTATATTTTGAATATTTACATTAGTTAAAGTCAATAATGATGATATATTAAATTTATTCATTGAAAACATATTTGTTTGTCATCATCATTGGATCACAAAATAATAAATAACCTTATTTGCAACTCAATACTCAATATAGAGAAGTATACCGAATAACTCAAGACAAAAAAAAAGATATATTAGTTTAAAACACCAATTGTTGCAAAAAGACTCTAGGATAGACAAAAGTAAAAACTTCATAAAACTTTAAACTAGTGAATTGGGCTCTTGGAAATCTTACAAATCTATTTTGCCTAAAATTATTATATCTCAATTTAACTTAAACTTAAATCATTTTTTCAAAATAGCACAACTAAATGCTAGCCTAGAAACCTACAAAGCAAAACAGATACAAAGAATGAAATTACCATTATGGTTAAATGAAAAAGTAACCTTCAGAAACCACCTAATGGTATTAAGTGAATTTTACTTCTAATTAAATTTGTTTAAAACTTAAAGAAATTAATATCCAACCATCTCATTTAGAGCCTTGATTTTCCAAATATTAAATTTAAAACATGTTCTTTAAATTAAGACAGAAATCCTTATATATTACAATCCTCATAGTTTTATGTTTGTCCCTCTTTCATCATTTAAAATATTACTCCAATAGATAGTTTTGAAGCCAATTGATGTGAATCATTTATAGAGAAGTAATAATTCAACAAAAAGGCTTTTTTATGCAATATTTTTGCAAAAATGATTACCATCAACATGCAGTGCATTCTTGAAACATTTGCGTAATTACAAAAATAAAATAAGTAAAAGCAACAATTTACCAATTGAAGCCAATAAAAGAATAAACTACATCAATAACATACTACAAGGTAGCAATAGGTAACCAATAATTAACAGTAGTAATGGTAACCTCATTCATATTAAGAGCCTGTGAAGCCACTGTTTCAACAATGTTATCCTTAAAAACTTTTGCAACATCACTCATGAGCTTAATCTTTTTCGTCCCACCACTAACCATAGTCGACATATACTGATAAAAAGACATGCTAAAGCTATGAAGAAAAAATGGTTGGGAGCATCTTCTATCTTGGAACAATAAATCAAACCCTGAGGATGAATTACTAAACCTTGTTCCAAAATATCTTGATCGAACAAAATCATCGAGTTTTGCTAAGATTGGAACTCGTTTGAAGGTTGATTTTTAAGGTCATTTTCATGGAGAATGTAGGCATATGATGCTATGATGATTGATATGAAAGAATAAAAATTCCTTTAACAAATGAAAACAAAAAAGAAAAACTATCAAATTAAAATCATAACCCAAGCAAGATAAATACAACATAAATATATTAAATGGAAAACATATCTCAAGATTCATTTATTACGATAAAAAATCACTAAGTGGCAATACAATAAGATTATGAAGCCAAAATCTAAGAATTTCAAACAAAATAAATAACTTAAACAATATTAAAAATATGAAGCAAAAACTCACTGTTTTAATCTCTTGTGTTCATAATAAAAGGTTTTGCCAGGTTCATGATCTCACCCTTGAGATACAGCAGCATCAACAAATCCTAAGGGAAAAAAGCTTTTTCAGTTTGCATTTACTAAAAAATTAACATAAAAGAGAAAAATATCCATAAAGGAGCATGTAAATACCTCTAGCAATACGTTTTATGGCTTTGCAGAGATCATTTTTCCTAAGAAAAGATAAAACAACAAACACTCGAGAAAAAGCTATCATAGCATAAAAACTTATAACAAATAAATTTAGACTGGATTAGCATAAACTAACCAACCCAATGTTTAGGCAAAATTGATCCAGTCCTATAGGAATGAATTGCAAGAAAGTATAATATGGTTATATTTTCTTTAGAAAAATGCAAAAAGAGGGAATCCAAAAAGAATTCCAAGTTGCAAGTGAAGACTAAAGAGAAAAAAATACATAAATTCAAGATTATCATTCATTAAAGCCTAACCAAAATCCTACCAAAAAGAGGATGATAAAAAAAAGCTTAATGGTAATTTTAAACCAAAAGCAGTTGAATGAACGACCTCTATCTTCATATTAGCAACAAGTTTTCATCCCAAAAGAACCTATTAACAACTGTTTATCAAACCAAAATAGATAATTTAATTATCATTTGCTCTTTTAAAAAAAATATGCAAACAAAAAAAAGAAAAAATAAAACATATTATAAGATTACTATGAAAAAAAATCTACATGTCAAAAGAGTTCTGTCACCTCCAGCTGCAATCACAGCATTAGCACCCTTCTTGTAGCTTGTAAACCATTATCCATCAAGTTACATGATAAATATAAAGACTATTAACTCAAAATCTTCCATAGGTAGCCTAAACAAAGTTCAATCTCATTGTTTTAATTGAAAAAAAAATGTAAAAGAAGCCCTTGATTTCTACCTCCCTAGTAATATCAATTAAATGAAAAGATCAAAAGTCAAAGATTCATATATCTGTATATTGATATATATATATATATAAATCATTTGATATATGATTTGCACATTCAATATTTAAAATGATTTCCAAATGAGAAATTAATTGTTAAGTTTTTCAAAAGATTAATTTTAAGAGATATGTAAACCAATTTAAACTTATAGCTTGTTCCTTGGTTAGCTGAACACAAATTGAAAATAAAAAAAATCATATTTGATATATGATTTTGCACATTCAATAGACTACAATGTTCTCATATCCTCTTGGACCTTTATTGTAACAAAAACATTAACTAAAATATAATTAATCCATAAGTAAACTAATCCCATAACAAACCAATGCACCAACCATAAGTTTCAAATTTACAAAGAGCTATAAACACAAACATGTTAGCAGAAACAAACATGCCTCTCAATTTTTCAAGAAGCCTTACTCTTTTAAGTAGCACAACTTTAGAAAGCCTTTCAATGAAAATCAACCTTAACCTATTTGAATGGTTATCAACATTTGCATTTAAAAAGATGTTCAAAGCATTTTAACAAAAACAAAAGATTATATTAGTATTTTACAATAAGCATATGTTCAAGGCATCATAATCAAAAGTCAATAGTTTTAATGACAAAACTTATAAGGTACAAATGTTAAACTCAACTTTTGTTGACATTTGAGTTTGATCTAAATAACAATGGCTAAATATTATAAAAATGTTTCAGACTTTAAAGAATAAATTTAATAGTATAAAAGATTTTATGGAATAAGAATAACAATTTTATACATAAACATGTAACTGGGTTACAAAAAAAAAGTGAAAATTGGCATTATTATAGTGGCAAGGGCAAATTTTGTGATGTATCAACTCATAAATTACTTTTAAAGAAATGAGGCTCCTTATGTATTTAATCATGTCGCCCATAACTTGTGATATTTCAAAAATAATTATTTTAAAATATTGATTTTTTTAAAGTTAAAGAAAATAATGTAACTATCATTATTTCTCACTCTCTCAATCTTTCTCTCACCTTAAAAAATTATATATTCAAAAAGAGAATTGAAAAAAATAATTTGACTTACCTTGCTATGTTAGTAATCATGGACTGGTCATAACCCTATTTTTTCTTTTCTCTCACTTTTTTTTTATCTTCTCCTTTCTCTCGCTCTTTGCATTTTTCACTATCTTTTTTCTATAATAAAAAGAAAAAAATCACACATAGATGTCAACATTTGTAAAAAATCACAGTCATTTTTTTTACAATAAAAACATAATATATAGATATTGTATATCCCTCTTTCTCTCTCCCATCTACTAACATAACTAAAGGGGATTAGCTAAATATAGAATTTTTTTTCTTTAAAAGCAAAGCCTTAACTCTCATAAGGTTTGGATTCGATCCTCAAAGATCGATTCACATTTATCTATTTACTTTTTCATCTGATCTAATCTAAAAATGAATCTACTAGCCTTAAAAAATGATGTGTGACTACTGCATTGCCACCATAATGGGCATAACTTTCACCTACCTAAACAAAGAGGGGTGAAGTTTTAGGAGTTTGGCTAATTGATGGTCGGTTCAAAAGTGTCGC